AATAGCAGCCCTGCTTTTACCTTTTTGATACACATGACTCGTGGATGACCGGCTTCAATGATGATCTGGGCACTGATACGATATCTATATCGATGTTATTTAGGCTTAAATAGCGCAAGCTAGTGAAAAGAGAAGGGTCTGGGTGTTATGTACAGTTATTTTGCCCCAGTACCCAACCTTGATCGGTATTCGGGCTCCAGTGTTCTGATGCGTACCAGGCGCTAATGCACGCTGAATCCACCGGTCAGACCATCCCAACAGCGCTCCAATAGGGAATCAACCCTGTTATCTTAGGGCTGATAGATCCCGACCAAGCTCGAATAACCCGACGTTTTCAATACGAAAACCCCGACATTTGCAAGCCTTGCGTTGCTTGATGTATCAGATGGAACGATAGAAGTCTGTCAGAATAGCTCAATGTTTATTTGTGTTAGGCTAAGTCTACATAGTCTGGACTTAAGCCTATGTGGTCATGGTCTGACGTTTACTGGACTTGATTCGTTGGATTGTAACGTGGTGTAACAACGCCCGCAGTGCCATCGTGGAGCGAAGGCGAGACGCCGGTGTCTTGAACACGAGAAGCCACATTTGACCGGTGTCGCCATTCCAGAGCTTACCCCAAAATCTGACGTGAGATCGTTGCGTCCAGCCGAATTCTTCTCTTGTCAGGAAATAACATCGTGTACAGTAATTATATCTCATGGTAGTTCACAATGTTGACAGGATGGCATAAGAAGATATCCATCAGCGCTGTAACATCAGAGGGCCTAGTAGATAAGGAATCAATTTATACTGGCTATTAATATCTACATTATCCTCAGCTGCAAGCCAATGCCGGCGTCTATGCTGCACGCCGGCGTCTTGGTGGAGAAGCGGATCAATTAGTCCGATCTGTAATCATTTAGTCAGTGCCAGTTCCCTCAATAATTGGTTTACCTCTCAGCTGAAAGCAGCGTCTGGTACTTTGAACTCTCCACGGGCCGTAACGCCGCAGAGACGAGTTCCCCATCTCGATCTCTGAGCGAAATATATCTCCCGCTGATCGGCTTTTCCAATGTGCCATTAAAACTTGCGTCATACCATCTTGCAAGAATATTCTTATTAAGCCATGAGTTCTTCTACCTCGGAAATGGATAGTATCTCTGTACTGCCACTTGATGTGGCAGATACGGGGTCGGGACCTAAACGGGGAAGAAGACCACTTGAAGTGCCGGAGGGTGGATCAGTGACAAACGTGAGTGCACCGTGACTTGACGTCTCGGCATGATTAGTGATGCGACTTTCGAGTTTTGAGCTGTCTTCTAACTGGCCATTTTTAGCGCCGAAGGATACAGAATCGCATGGCTCAGCGTGCATATCGACAGCGCAAGGAGTCTGCCATTGATGTACTGAAGCAAAAGGTTGAAGAGCTGGAGCGGTCGAAGGAAGATATGGGGAGGGAGTTTATTAACTTCACTTCTGTCATTCTTGAACAAGATACTGTCAAGAACAATCCGCAGATCATTGAGCATATTAAGCAGACCACCATAAGCTTGCTGTCCAGCGCTCGAGAGGTAGACGAGAATGAGAGACCTGTTGTCCAAGATGAGGAGCAGAATGACCTCCTCAACGATCTTCCAGTCGAAGACCCAATTGATCTCACGCCACCAATCCCGCAAGCCCAGAGCTTCGACTTTCCCATGATGGATGGCACCGGACAGATGGAATACACCACCAACCCAATCGATCCCATGCTCGGCCAGCAAAGGCCCAATTCCGATTCGACACCACACTCGTTCGATGCAACCTCCTATTTCCAGCTTCCCACCACCCAAACGCCCTTCTACGACATGACGTACCAACTCCCCGGATCAACGTGGGACTCTACCCTGCCCAACCCCCGGTCCTACGCAAGCCAAGAGCTAAATTTTGGCCGTCGGTACCACAGAGCCTCTCAGGAGGCTGCCTTTCTTCTAGCGTCAATGAGACATGCGCCTCCTGGGTGGTATCGCAAGGTCTTTGGCTTCTGTATGCATTTTGAGACGAGGGAGGAGATAAGCAGTCGATTGGGCGAAGCACTGCGCAAGTCGAAAGAGACGACGCTTAATAATTGGAAGTTTCCATTCACGAATATTGGTGGCGCTGGGACTTTCTTTCCCGACCAGGGGTATGGTAATGGCGATTTGCCGATTGGCAACAGATCACTGGAGCATGAGGCGTATAGACCACCCGAGATGTCAGGCTTCTCAATGGGACCCTTCGGACCCTCCATCGAACAGATCAGAGATTTACGCTTGAATGCCCAGTTACGCATTATCGATCCTGAATATGACGGAGATTTCTTCGATTCAGATGAGATTGAGATTTGTCTCCGCGGCTACGGTGTTACTATTCCAGCGGGCAAAGACTTCGTCACAGCATACATCGATATGAGCATGTTCGAGCGAACCTCAGATTCAGAGACGAGTTCTGGACCTACCACGCCTCCTGACATGCCAGGTAACGGGACCTTCGAGGAGGAAGATCTCGAAAGTGACGAGCCAGCTTCGTTTTCATGCCCTGCTGGCTTGATGGGTATGGCGATGGGAGCTATGCCGCCCCCACCGAAAGGTAAAGGACCTGGGGAGCGGTGGAAGACGCCTAGTAAACGGGACACCAAGGTTAAGATTGATGTTGAGAGATTGATCATGTGTAAGAGACAGGGTTCGTATTGACTTTAATCTGAAGGCTAACTGTTTCTGATAGGTCTTGTCAACTCAACTGTTTGTCTCGGAAGAACACCAGCGGTTCGCCCTATGGACATCCGTAAGTCGTTAAAGATGGCCATCATACAGGAAGACTAGAGCTGGGATACGTCACTGGGACAACAAAGGGATGGTGTATTAGTCGCCTGATGAATGGACAAGAGTGAGATAGGAAGAAGCGGGGACGGGTGAAGGGAGAATGATAGCGGTAGCTCAATAAATATATCTCTATGTTCAAAAGGTCTCCCGTGCATCCTGTTCCGCTCGGAGAAGCAGAGTCATACCGTCTCCGTACTACCCCTCAAGGAATGTTTCGACATGTTTGACGAAGGTCGGAGCGTACTGGAAGAGAAAGCCGTGCCCGCTGTTGGGGTAAAGAATGAGCTGACCATTCGGAACCTTTTGATAGATAAGGTAGCTGTTTGGCGTCGGGATCATGTAGTCGTTCTGTCGAAGAGTAGCTGTTAGTATTTGACCCTGATTGAAAGAATAGACCACGTTACTCACGCTTCCATTTGCGACCAAGACAGGTATCTTGAGATCAGGCAATCTGTCATAAGCGCCGTCTTCTCCCTTGCTCTTCTCCGGAGTCTCTGTGAAATCATGGCCTTGTGTGACCTGGCCCATAAGTCCCTTACCGCCATCTTTGTATCCACTGCTGAGCCAGAGAGAGGCCTCTTCCCCACTCGTCGCTGCACTCCGCTCATGAATCCTCGACCACCAAGCCTCAGCAGCAGCATCACCCGCGGCGTTCTTGGGGAAGAAGAGTGTCTTGAACACATTGATGTCTACGTCCTTGACACCCGCAACAGAACCAACATCTTTATTCTGGGAATAAACAAGGTCAGGTCCGTAGCTGGTGCCTGTTCCCGCAAGGATCAACTTGCGGACTTTGACCTTGCTGGGATCAGCGTTGAGAGCTACCATCTGAGCGACATAGCCTCCAATGCTGAAGCCGAGAAGATCGATCTCTTTCTCGCCGATTAGTTCGACGAACTGAGTTATATCAGCGGCGGATTGTCGCATTGAAGTAGCGACGTCGCCAGTGCTGAGACCAACACCAGCATAATCGACCGTGATAATACGGCGGTTCTTTGCGAAGCTATTAACAATGACAGGATCCCATTTATCCATGGTGCCACGGAAGTGCGTTAATAGCACGAGAGGTATGCCAGACGCATTGCCGATCTGGCGGTATGCAAAGGTGGCACCATTCGGTGACTTGACATATTGTGTCTTGGCGGTTTGCTGAGTTGCCATTTTGATGGACTTTGATAAGGTTGGAGATTAGGTTTCTGGGGTAATTGGCGCTTGATAAATCCTTAAAGCTGATGCTGCATGCGTTTATGTACTCGTTTGCCGATGGTGCTTGTGATGCCACTAAGAGTCGGAGTGCTTACTCACAAAAGTAATCGTCCCGCCTGGAGAGTCATACTACGTACGACAGCAAATTGTTACTCTCAGACGGCTAGAACCATATGCATAATCAACTGCCGAGCGTGAAATGCGCAACGAGTGACACATTTAGTCACAATTTATTTGCCGCTATTGATTAAACTCAGAATGGTCATCTGATACACATAAAAACTGTTACATGAGACTTGCAAGACGCGAAGCTGTACCTCGCAACTCAAGGCTAGTTACTCTCCCCAATTACTAGATGTTAATTAAAGTCAAGAAAATAGCTGCTAGAAAAGTATGAGGTCAAAAAGCTAAGCTATTAAACGGCACACACCTATTGTATGCAGAGCGAAAACAATGCGATATCAAAAGGTCTATACATCGAAGGCTTATAAAGTAGGAAATAATATAATTTTACTTTTAAGCCTGGAAAGGCATATTAAGATCTACTATCTACCTATAAAGATATGAATATACTGTGTACTCCGATGAAGCCTCTTTATCGCATAAGCATCACTGTACTACTCTTATAGAAGTTTCAGCTTGTTATTTTGCCCTGCGGCTTACTGTAATATGTAAATACTGCATGAAGGGCACCATTATTTGCATCTTGCTTTGTTACAATACCTAATTCAGGTGATATGCAGTCAGGCAGCAGCAGATTAGGCAGCAGTAATCAAGTAGCCTGGTAGCTAAGACTTTAAAAGTCTCCCAACAGCTTTGGTCTATATTCTAACTAGAGCAACTGAGCTTCTCTGTTAATAAGCTGCTATTATGAGGCGGTGTTTAATTGTCTGATTCTCCCCCACTGTTCCCATATTATATTGACACTCCACCGTTGCATTCGCATGGCTCCGCGGATCGCGAGAGTTCACCATGGATCCGGGGATACCTAATCGGCCAACAAGGCGGGACGACTTTGAAGTCGCTATCATCTGTGCCCTGACTCTCGAGGCTGACGCCGTCATTACTCTTTTCGATCATCACTGGGAAGGCGATGGTTTCTCTTACGGCAAGGCTAGAGGCGACACGAATGCTTATTCAATTGGTGTCATTGGGCAACACAATGTGGTCTTGGCCCATCTACCGGGAATGGGTAAAGTCTCTGCAGGCAATATAGCTGCCTTTTGCCGCATGAGCTTTCCGAATATCAAGCTAGCACTGCTTGTTGGTGTATGTGGCGGCTCGCCTTATTATAATAACGGCAAAAGCCAAATACGTCTCGGCGACGTGGTTGTCAGTACCGGTATTGTTTAATATGACTTTGGTCGTCGGTTTCCGGATCAATTCGAGATCAAGGATAGTTTGAACGACACCCCCGGAAGGCCGAATCTTGAAATTAGAAACTTATTATCAAAACTGATGACAGCGAGGCAGAGTGAGCGTTTGCAAACAGAAAGTTGGAAATATCTTAATGAGCTATATCAGGACTCAAAGAGACCGATGACTTTCCCAGGACGATCAAAAGATCTCCTTTTCCCAGCTGACTATCGCCATAAACACCAAGACTCGCTAATGTGTACGACATGCGCATCGTGCCACCATGAATCAGATACAGTTTGCGACATAGCCCTCACTTCAAGCTGCGAACAGATGGGATGCGACACGAGCCAATGTTTGCAAAGAGGCGGTCAGCAGGGAGAGGAGCATCACCCACTTGTCCATTTTGGTACACTCGCGACAGGGGATACGGTAATGAAGTCTGCAAACGATCGTGATCATATCGCGAAGCAGATGCAGGCTTTGGGATTCGAGATGGAGAGTATCGGCGTATGGGAAGTCTTCCCATGCGTCGTAATCAAAAGTGTATGCGATTACGCCGACAGCCATAAGAGCAAGGACTGGCAGCCTTATGCTGCTGCTTGTGCAGCATCATATGCAAAGGGATTCATCAGATACTGGGATCCGACAAGATGGTAAGGGTCCTACGCTCATAGAGTTCCTACATATTAACAAGGTTCAAGTGCCGAGCCTAGCTCCAAGCCTGAGCAGTTTCGGAAACGCATTGTTAAAAGCCTCAGCTACTCAGACATGAACGAAAGAAGAAATAACATTCAATCAGAGGCTCCGTCTACATTTAATTGGATCTTCGAAGAATCAGTCGAATACCCTAGGGAACAGGGCTTGGACTCGCTCTCGGCCCAAGATTCTGATACTACTAGACACCATGAAACCGAATGGAAAGCAGACTTGGCACCAAACGCCGAGGCTGGAAAAGAAGGATCATTTGAAGCTGGTGAAAATAACGGAACAGAGTGGGAAACAGCATCAGACGAGGAATCTGAACAAGAAGGATCCCTTGAAGACGATGAAGATGACGAAGCGAGCTGGGAAACGACATCAGACGAGAAGTCTGGAGAAGAGGGATCCCTTGAAGCGGACGATGACATGGGGACTGACTGGGCAACAGAATCAGATGACAGATCTGAGACCTCCGAAAATTCCACCCCAAGCGGCCGACAATGGAGACACTGGGATAGCTTTATTGATTGGCTAAAATCGAACCTGCCAGTCTACTGGATCACCGGGAAACCGGGCTCTGGGAAGAGTACCCTCATGAAGTTCCTCATATCAGATTCCAGGACACCAGCTGCGTTGAAGGAATGGAAGAAGGACACAATAATAATTGCGCACTTCTTCTGGAAGCCAGGAAGTACGATGCAGCACTCTTTCAAGGGTCTTCTCTGTTCATTGCTGTGTCTGATTTTGAAGAACGATAAGAGCATCTCCCATAGCGTTCTTCAGAGAATGATCAAAGACAAAGATGGAAAGGAGTCACCGAGTGATTGGGACCAACGCGAACTGAGAGATCTTCTAGAACTTTATCCGTCACTGGGTATCGTATCAGAAATGAAGTCTTGCGAACTGCCCTCTGCCCTTGAGACCTTGACCAGGTGGATACGCGAAGCGAGCCTGCCACGCGCCGTTAGCACCACTATATTGACCCTTGCACAGAAAATGTATGAGCGAGGATCCCTATTGACACCAGAAACCTGCCGTGAACTTCTACCCCTTCATTCTCGCCGGGGACAGTTCTTGATATATGCAGTATCTTTTAGTCATACTACATTTGTGTTCAACAACTTGGCAACTTTTCCAAATTCTGAGAGATACGAAACTGCTTATTATATCTTTTATAATGCTTGTGCCGAGCTTCATTCTCCCGACGATGACGGGAATATGATGCATGAACCCGGGGTAGTCAAGTTCATGATCGAAAACGGCTACAGTCCCAACTGGCCCGGAAGCTCAGAGACGACTACTTACAAATTCGGCAGTCCTTGGCTTCGGTATTTCTTAGCACTACATGAGAAACTTACCGGTAGAGTGAAAGCTATACTCACCTCGACTCAGGCACTTGCAGTCTTGGATACTATACGTATGTTCCTCAGATCTGGGGCCAGTGTCCAGTCTAGGTTCAAGATAGTATTCAGTTGGTGTCGAGTGCCCGAGAGAAGCCTACCTGCACATATTAGTCTTGAAGCTCTTTTTATTCATCCCTATAAACGCTTCCCCTGTCCGGACAACTCTGGCTTCTTGATCCTGGAGATAAATGCCAAGGTGCTCCTGGAATCAATACTAGTTCAGGTACACGGGGCAATACACCCCGTTTCCCGTTTGAGGCTTCCGGAGGATGCCTCTCACCCAAAAGCTCTTGCATTCGGCAATTGGAGCAAGAAGGAGTATTTCATCGTGGATAGAAACTGGGTGTCAGAGTTACTCGTAGAAGGAGTAAAACTCTGGTTTCGGCACGCTACGAGGAAGGGTGATGACACGAAGTTGAACAACACAGTTATGGGGATGTGTCGTTACGTTACTGACAAAGTTAGTGAAGCTTCGTGCCGTCAAGGTGCTTGGCCCTTTTAAGTGTCATTACGCTAGCCAACTTCAATACTGTGTCAGGTCTCTAAATACGATTGCAACTCTAGGACAAGTTGGGCATCAAGATATCCATTACACAGGTTCGAGGGTAAGCCTTGAGACTATATGGGAGTGCTCACGTCGCCTAATCAAATATGTAAGCCGGGTAGCTATAAGGAATTTATTAGCCATGTGTTCAAAGGTACATAGATAGTGGGCTAGCTCACTCGCTATATCCAACCTCGTTGACCTCGTAGAAGACGGAGCGATCGTACTTGGTCAACGACCAGCCATTCTTGATTCTCGCAGGGAGGTCAGGGTTGGCTGCATCAGAAATATCAGCAAACAGAAGAAACGCATACGAACGGGGCGCTTACGAATGAAGTGACGCCCAAAGGCCACGAGGTCATCTGTCTCACTAGTATGCTGCAGTGCCTTCTCAGGCGTATATCCCCCGGCCACAATAAACTGCACACCAGCACGGGTAGCTACTTCTCTGATAGGCGCTAAAGTATCCTCGACCTTGCGTAAATGCTCAGGTGTATCCATCGACCCATCTGCTCGAGGCTCGATGGCGTGAATGTACGCGATATGGGGTTGAGCGTCTACAATAGCTTGCGCCCAAGGAACGAAGAGTGATAGCGGTTCGGCTTCTCGCATTCCTTGAAAGCGCGTGAATGGTGACATGCGGATACCGATGCGCTCGGGGCCGATGGCGTCGCTGACTGCATTGACGACGCGGAGGGGGAAGCGGATGCGATTCTCGACACTGCCGCCGTATTGGTCTGTTCTGTCGTTGCTGGTTGATTGGAGCTATGGTACTGTCAGACCTATTCCACATCCTAAGTAAAAGCAAATACTCACAAACTGATCAATAAGCTACAAGTTGTCTGTCAGCCATCAAACCTATCACTTCGAACATGAGTGCTTACGTATCCATTGGCGCCATGAATCTCGATGCCGTCGAAACCAGCCTCCATAGCGTTCAAAGCCGCTTGTCGGTAATACTCCACAAAGTCATCAATATCAGCTTCGCTCATGACAGTGAAGTTATCCGGAATCTTTCGTGTGACATCATTGTCTTCGAAGAATGGTTGTGAGCCGGGGCTGAGAACAGCAGGGACTAGATCTGGTTCGGCAATACGTCTAAAGTAGTGTCAGCGGACAAAATGACAACCAGAAACGAGGGGCTAGCTCACCCAAGAGCCCAGAGCTGACAGAGGATAAAAGCTCCTTTGGCATGGACTGCATCAGTGACGTGTTTCCAAGCGGCAATCTGCTCTTTGGAATAAATCCCCGGTGAGAAAGGGCGCCCTGATGCCTCAAGGGAGATGAAGGTCCCTTCTGTGATCAACAAGCCACCAGCTAGCAGTCATAATTAGTATACTTTCTCCAGTCGTGGAGGCACTGTGAGACCGTACGTGTAGCGCGCTGGGAGTAATAATCCGCGGCGTAGGTAGCGGGAACGCCAGCTGAATCAGCACGGCCACGAGTCAAGGGTGCTAGGACGATCCGATGCTGTAGATCAAGAGCGCCGACCTGGATTGGCTTGAACAGCTTAGAGGTCTGTGAGGTCATCCTGGTTTAGCGTAGATGTGCCAACTATAGTCTAGTGGGATAAATGAATAAGCGTGAAAAGTAGAAGTGTCCTTGCGATCTTGTGATGCAGTTCGATTGTGTGTATTAGTACTTACTGCCTGTATATATACGCACTGATTGCCTTCTTTCATTGATTAACAATCGATGAATTACTAACATACATTCTCCTGAGTAGGTCATATCTGCTTTCAAATCGCGATATCATGCGAACGCCGAGGAAATTCCAAGTGCACCTTAGCTGCAGCTTTATTGGTTACTGGAATAGTGGGCGTCTGTTTTACGTGGAAAGCCGACAAGACGAGCTGGCTCCACATTGTTTCTCGGAGCTGATTACTGATATGCATGCCTTGGATGCAACATCGATACGGCCAAGTTTAGCGAGCCTTGTTGACGAAGTCAAATTATATCTGGGACCTTGGTTTGAATCATAGCTTTTTCACTTGCATTACTAATTTTTAGTCGGCTACGGATGTGAACTATGAGGTGTCACAAAACTACTGATGCTCAACAGCTGACCAGAGATTGATAAGATAGCTTATCTTATCTCACGAGCAACATTTCTTTCTTTTGACATCAGCGCATCACTGATTGAGACGTAGGAAACCTAGGCGAGTGCTAGAAGGTGATGCAATCCCAATCCCTAAATTCTGTATATAATCCATGAAGCCTTTGTATGCCATTCTCTGATTACGCGCAGGTGCTTAGTGACCAGGCCGTCTCCCACTTCTATGAAAAACCACGGTTCATTGGCCAGACGCATTGAAGTGGAGATCAGCAATCACCATTTCTACTCGCTCTTATCGACAATGAGGTGACCAGAAAATTATTACTCAGAACCCCGTTTGAACAAACCATAAGCGCCATGAATGAGTGAAAATGATGATATAAGCAACCTGCAATGGTCAATCACGAGCATGACATGTAGTCAAGCCCGTTGAGTCCATAGGCCCTGTAAAAAGGCGACACACGGCATAGACAAAATATCTTGTCAGAGAGCTCACTAAAGTCTTGACAGTTATTGAATCAGAGAAAGGTTTCTCGAATCTCACATCAACTACAGAATCTAGATTACCAGCACCACAAGTTGCTACCATGACACCTTCGCTTGAGCACGTATTCACAATGAGGATGTATACATCCCCGGACAAAGCCCTCGTCATCCCTGAAGCCAAGGGCAACAACCACCGCATTGTTGCTTTCCTGACGCACGGCAACATCAAAGGCAGTGGCCTTGAGGCAGATCTCCTCCCTGGCGGCGCTGATTGGATCCTGGTAAGCCCACCTCCAATACAGAGTACAGCAAGATAAACACTAACCATTCATTAGCGTGACCCTGACACAAACACCGGACATCTTGATGTCCGCGTTCAATTCCGATCCAAAGAAGGTCACGGTATTTACATCCATTTCAAGGGCGTTCTACAGATCGATGAAAAGTGGATGGAGGTCTTCACTAGGGGACCCAAGGCTCGAACACTTGAGTTTGGAGAGAATGAATGGCTGGGATCTCCTATTATTGAGACCAGCCATCCTGACCTAAAATGGGTAGAACGCTCCGCTTTTGTCAGTGAGTTGCGTTGGTTTGTCGACGGGGATGGATCCGTTGCAGTTGAAAATGCTGTTTACAAGGTCAAGCCGAGCAGAGCATAACACTATAGCAAGATGAACCAGTTAGTTATAACTTTCATTATAGAATCAATCAAAGCAAGTTTATTGTGTGATCAACGACTGTAAAGATTCTTTTATTAGATGCGTTGTTGAAGATTGGCCTGGGTCCTTCACATATCGGAATCCAGCATGCTATCACGGAGATTCCGGTCACGTGGATCCTTGACAGGGATACTCAGGCGGCATCTCACGGAGATTCCGACTTTGTCAACCCTGATCCCCTGTTCTGAGACATATTTCAGGGCGGATCTCCGTTGCGTGGCTAAACCTTACAATCATGGTTAATAACGCCATCCCCCTATGAGTGGCCCAAAAACGGGCTGCCCCTTTCCTTATGCATGCAATGTTGCGGCGAGGACAGTCAAAGAGCGGCTGATCACCCAACTACCGATGCATTTCGACCAGCAGCCCTGGCCTCAAGGGTCTCTGGCGACTCATGCTCATACCTGAGACTAAGGACCGGCGCTTAGTTCATGTCCTGGACTGATCGAATTACGAGATGGAATAGCTTGCCAAGCTTCTGGAGGCAAGGAACTACCCTCATGTGTTCGGGAAAGAATCCGTGTGTTGCGGAATGGGAAGAGAATAAGAAGCGTTCTTTACACGATTTTTGGCATCATCGTAAACACAGCTTTGTGCAGACATTTAAGGTCCTTGGTCCTGCACTCCAACAGCAAACTGGGCATCAACAAAGCACCATCAATGCGCCCGGATAAGCACTATTGATGTGAGGCGCGTGATGTGAGCCGTGAGCTAAGTTGAGTTCACCAACATCCTGGAAACACCATCTCCCAACATCAGCACACTATTGCTGTACCCGATGCACATCGGCAAGATTCTGCCGAAAACAAACCCGGCACTGCACTGCGATATGTGACAGAGTCTTCGACGCCGATCCGAATTTGATTCAGGGAAGGATTTGTACCAAGACGAGGTGGGTTGACGACCGATTATGCACAAATAGCAACATCAGGGGCAATAGTAAGGAGTAATGTGTGTGCTATTAGTGGTGAGTTTATCGAACAGATGTTACTCGAATGTGCCGTCCACAGGGAATGGATGTCCGATGTACAATGTCGAGGGTATGCTTCCCGACTGCCAAGTAGATGTGTCTGCCAAAAAAGGAGGACTCTCGTGTCCACTGCTCAAACTGCTAGACACAACCCATTTGCAAAGGACCGCGAAATAATGGCTGCTGCGATGACAGTTGCCTTTTCGATCGGGAGTTCGCTCCTAGGTATAGGTGTTATTTGTATAGAAGCTTAAAAGTCAAATCGTAAGCGTTCATCAAGGATATACTCGATACCGAGAAAGATTCAGAGCCCATGGCACTGGGTCAATCACCACGTTCATGCAGTGATGCAGTTCAAGGGTCCTACGCATGGTTCGTCAGGTTTATCTATGATAGCTTTCGTGCATATTCGTATTCCGGACCATCTGCAGGCCCCTTTCCTGGCCTTACGCATCTTCAATGCTACAATGACTAACTCTTTATTTTCTTACCTCTCAAGAAGCAGCTATTCCGTTTCACCAACCCTGGATTCAGCTTTGTCACTATTAGCTAGAATGCTGTCTCGCTGCAACATAGGTCCTCTTCCTACACGACCGCCAAGTGCACTAACTAGTTCTTACAGGCCTTTTAGCCCCATCACAATGCGACAGTCTCCGTCACAGAAGTAAATATAGGCGGCCCACCAAGAATCGCCCCCCTCACCTCATTTCAAGACCCAGCATACAAGCGTCCGTGACCCTGAAAAGCAACAGAGGCATTGCATTAGTATCTGAGCGTTTTCAATAAGCTGATGATGTGGCTGATAAGCAAATTCGGGAATCAAGTAACCGCACCTTACAAATAAAGGGCAAGTCAGTGCCAACGATGATCTTCTCCGCGTAGGGCGAGTCTAGACCGCAGGGCTGACCAAGGCAACGAGATTAGGCGTATGTAAGAGTTCCCGCCTCGGCAGAATCGTTGGTGCGACCCCAATCGGACGACACTCCCATCCCGTCCCGGCAGCCTCCCCGGTGTTCACTAACCCGAGCCAAGCACCCGCAGTCCTTGATAGCGGCGGGATGCTTGTAACCGATACACTAATGAACTCTAATACAGCCCCCAGAAGGACATTTTTTACTAACGTAGGGGAATTTGTTGGCTCTAAAATCCTACTTCAAGCCACGACCCCTCTGATCATCCCGCGCCGCGAGTAATGTCCGGTTATAGGGGCGAGCACGCATGGAAATAAAACAACCACAATCTTTTAACGAAGGCTTCCGCATTCGAGTTGTTCTTTCCACGTCGTTCATTGTTCTTGTTTCGCTTCCGCCTTTGTAATTGTCTGTTTTTCAACAGCGTTCTTTAACAGCGAGGCCGCATAAGATGTACAAAGAAGCTGGAGTTGGAGGCAAGGGCGGTCTACTAATTGGAGTATTCTGGGCCCAAATCGCATTGAGTATCGCTCTGATAGGCCTTCGGATTTATACGCGTTCCTTTATTCGAGGGTCTGTTGGGTGGGACGATGTCTGTCTCATTTCGACACTGGTATGTGCATTCGCTTGACGCAAGGGACAGAACTCTAATATGTAATAGGTCCTAAACACTGGGTTCACCGTGTTTACGACTGTTGCGGCAGTTCATGGCATGGGGCAGCATTATGAAGACCTCGAGGTTCCGCAGTTCGCGCATGCGATGCTGTACATTCTTATTGGACAGGTCTTTGTTGCTCTCGCTACGGGGATGGGTAAAGTGTCTGTCGCTATGTTCTTGCTTCGCATTGTTATGAAGCCTTGGTATGTCTAATAGCCCTCGAGCAATGTGTGACCACTAACGCAATATGTTATAGGCATCGTTGGTTTCTATGGTTTTGCGCTGTGTCGATGGTCATCATGAGTATTTTCCTAGCCGTTACCGTCTTCGCCCAGTGTACCCCGGCCGAGTCTATCTGGAACCCCGAGCTAGCCGATCAGAGGGTCTGTCATCTTAGCCTGACTATTGTTGCTATCACATACTGCTGTTAGTCTAAACCCCGGTATCTGTTCTCGCTACCTTCTGACCTTGTTTCAAGCCTATGCTGCCGCAATGGACTTTATCCTAGCTGGCTTCCCATGGATTGCCCTCCACGGCCTCAACATGAAGCCCAAAGAACGGCGCACCATCTGCCTGTCGCTCAGTATGGGCGTCTTGTGAGTTAATACACCTATCGAGTTGACTATATGAGAGCTGACAAGATATAGCGCTGGTATCTGTGGAGTCTTCAGAACAACTGGATTAACCTCTCTGAGCAACTCCAAAGATTACCTCTGTAAGTGCGATCGTCACAGCAACGGAAGCGCAGGAGCTAAGTAGTGCGATAATAGACGCTATCTCTGACTCGGCCATCTGGACCGCCAGCGAAGTCACAGCCACCATCGTCTGCCTCACCCTGCCAGCCTTACGCCCGCTCTACAGGAAGATCCGAAACCACGAATCGAGTTCCGCAGGCTATCAACAACACGATGACTCGATTTACGCGAATAACTCCGCCTATCCTCTTGGTTCTCTTAGAGGTAACACGACTGAAGATGGGAAGGGGGGCAACCTGACAAAGATTGAAGCGAGCATACTAGCTAGTAAAAACGATAGTGACGAGGCAATACTTCTCCAGGGCTCTACCAAAGGCAATATTATGAGGACGCAGGAGGTCAGCATCTCGTATAGAGAGACGGGATTGGAAGGGAAAGCTACTTCCCGGGAAGGTGTCTGAACAATTTTAGCGGAGAGAGCCGCGGGATGATATTGGATCGCGAGTGATGTTGATGCTTGAACAAGCGAATCGCATTTCTATAAATAGATACGGATTTGATACTACCAAAGCCACAAAGGGAAGATACTACGCCTATCTGAATGTTGTACCGATTATCAGACATTTTATGTGATTCAACCAATGATCCAATAAGTAAAGAGTCCTATTACATTACGCGAAAGGCATTGCGTTGTGCTTCCCAATCCAGTGGTCTAGGTTAGTCTCCCTCGAGTCAAGATCTCGGCTCCAAACCTCAAATTATTTCCGTAAATCCTTTGATTGGCTGGCCTACCTAGGAAGCTGAGTAATCACCTCAAACACGGGGTTAGTGCTGACGCGCCACCTTGTCTCCGTCGCCGACGCCCTGTCAGGCTGACTCAATTATCATCCTTATCTCTTCAATAAATCCCAAGAAAATGTCTTCAAGTTCAGAGAAAGAGAACTCAACGACGCCAGAAACGGACTCTAGAGTACGGCAGTTCCACACTCGAAGTCGAACAGGCTGCTCCAATTGCCGGACCCGCCGGAAAAGATGTGACGAGCAGCGACCGCAATGGTATGGCGATCCTGAATCCTTGGCCCCCACTGTAAGCTGGGATCTGGCTCTAATGGAGAAAATGTAGTCACAATTGTGTCAAGGGTCAGAGAACCTGCGTTTATGCGCCCCCGAAGATTCCATTGAGAGAACGAAGGGCGCAGCAGAAGGAGGCTCGTCCGTGGGATCAAACGCCCTGGGAGATTGAGCAGCCGTCAAAGCCTAAGGAGATGACTTGCTTGAGGAAGACCAATGTTCCTCCTCGATTAAGTCGCCTGAATCATGATACAGGGTTTAACAGGCTGGCTGTTGCCATGCCGCTCAAATCTCACGAGTTGTTTCAATACTGTCAGTTGCCATGAACAGCCGTATACTTGTGGGCTCGCTGACTCAATTTAGTGTTTGAATCAAGCCGGACACTGAAGACGACACAAAAGGTGCCTGGTACGGAATAGTTAGTATACCTGTCGATCCCGACATCTGTCGCTCAAGCTCACCAAAATAGTCTCGCGCGTATGATAGATAACCCATGTGGACTCCGAAGTGCCATCCTCATGGCCGGCATGCATTTCTCTTTCCAATTCGGCGACCTCGCTACATTCGAGTCCACCTTCTTATATCACAAAATTGAGGTCATGCGTGTCATCAATCGTTGGATCGCATCAGGAGACTATAAACTCGAAGCTGCGATTATTAGAGAAATGGCCACCTTGGCTTTCACAGAGGTGAGCCACCCTACTATACGCTCCCTTTCAGGATTACATTGCTAAATGAGAGGCTAGGCGTGTCATGGAGAGCTCGTTGCTGCCGAGACTCACATCAGTGGCATTCTGGCGTTGATTGAAACTGCCCGACCTGATAAAAGTGACCCGACTCGTTCTGATTGTTGTTCCACTGACCGAGAACTAGCTAACCGTTATTTCGTCATGTAAGTCGCCACAAACACATCTATGTCGACGTCTCGTCCTTCTTTCTAACATATTATCATAGGTCCTATGTCTACATCACCGGCCTCAAGAGCTTACTGAGTGGAATCTGTCGAACTGGCGGCCACGGCAGGAGTCTCGATGTTGTACCGGGTCGAGATCTTCTCAAGCTATCGCATACATGGCACATGAGCGAGGCGATGGAGAACCTGGATCTTAAACTACAAGCTATTCGTCTGTTTCCGTTCTTCTTCTGCCCACTGCCGCAGGGAGCACGGCTCAATAACGCAGACGGACAAGTTATCATCAACTCTATACGAGACTTTACGGCTGCGCAGGATCGTATATTCAAAGATACAGGTAAAGAGACAGCTGATGGAAAGTTCGACGGGTTTTGGCGGAGAGGTCCCGCATCAAGGGTACTGGGAGAATATGTCACAGCACATATCGAATCTATTTCCGTACCGGGAAAGAAGGAGGAGACTCACGATATGACTCCATCATCATTCGTCGGACCATGGTGCGGATTGACTATCGCCTCTATCTTTTACATGCAAGACGTTCTCGGGGCGTTGGAGTACGTCGACAAACGCATTCACAAATACGCCGTTACATTGCTGCAACACGATGTAGCAAAGGTTCTCAACCGGGTAGGGACCTTGAAGAACGAAGCGTTTATACTGTGGCAGACATTGGCCGGGCTCATAGCTTCTTTGCGTGCCCTGAAACACAACGAGCAAGACAGAGGACTGCTGTCAGCCAGAAAGTTCTTTGCGGATGTTTTGAAGCAGCAAGCAACGACTTTGGGTATCGTGGCTTGGTCACAAGCAAAGGGGACGCTACGAAGGGTAGCATGGCCAATGGGGACTGCTGGTCGAGAATCTATAGAGGAGCTTTGGGAAAAGACTGTTACGAATAGAGCTTAATCAGAGAGGATTAACTATATAAGATAAGCCTTATATAATATTTTAATTAAAAGAACCATACTTTTTAACAATAAATAATTTTAATAATTTGTTCTATTACGTGATAGAGGCTGGGCTTTTAGTGATAAGTCAAGACTTTATCTATAGCTATATATATCACTTTTATAATATTCGTATTACTTATATTGAAGTTAGGTTCTGATATAGTAAGCCAAGCCTTACCCTAATCCTCCCACTACTCTTGCTCCTGTCCAGCTACATCATACATCTGCTGACAGCTATCTTGTATGCCTCTAGCTCCGCCTCAGTGTTGCTTATTACGCTTTCCCTTCCATGTGTCTTCCTTGCGGCGTTTGACCCCTTGTTAAGGCAGGCCTCCGAGATAGCCTTAGCGCGCTGACTGAGGCCGAGGCGGTGTACCAGATGTTCTACAGGGTCTGAATGAATGCTTGCAATTGCAATGCGATTGGCTTCCTGATCTTCCCAGCCCTATTAGGCTAAACGGTGATTGTGTAAGGGAGTAAGAAGGAATAATCATTCTATTTGCGGTATACTTTAGGGCGTACCTACCATTGGCCTGCTTAATAAAAGTTGAAATCTGTTAAATTTGCTTTATTCGCAAGCATTTTGAGATAAAGCAGGAGAAACAGAGAGGACTTCCTGGATTTTAACCGAGTACTGAATCGCCATACATAACAATCGTAAGGTAAGATTTTAGCAAGCATAAGCTGCAATTTGCAATATACCCAAAACTTAGTTTTCTGCCTATTATATGCCTCTGAACATGTATTGTTGTTCTTGGCGCCTCACCGGGCTTTACCTAATGTGGGCATAACTTCTGTGTCTTCGGTCCAGGAGGGAGCCGAAGGGTCTCAGGGTATGATTGCGATGGTAAATTAGGCAGCTCGAATATCCGGCGGGGTTCGTCAACATGGGGTAATGCAGGGACTATGGTCACGCAGCAAGGGGTCTACAGGTACAAAATGACTGAAGAAAGTTGAGATGTCGAGGCAGCGGGCCCAAGTCTCTTTACTTCTCAAGCTTAATTGTACTGTTGAGACCAAATATGCAGCTCTGCACCTGGATCATATCAGGCTTTGTGACAGCCATCGCTGCTACCGAGACCTATGACTATGTAAGTATTTACTCATTAGGGCATTCACCCAAGCATCGCTAACATTATTGATAACTAGATCATTGTAGGCGGTGGCACAGCTGGAGGAGCCCTCGCCACCCGCCTGAGCCTTGGCCTCCCCAAGTCTAAAATTCTTCTTCTAGAAGCAGGCCCAGAAGCTCTCGACGATGTGCGTATTAACGTACCCGGGATGCGCGGTTCAATTCTGGGTTCATCGCTCGACTGGAACTTTAGTTCTATCGCCCAGCCCGGCCTTAATGGGCGATCCATTAGCGTCAACCGCGGCAAGGTTCTTGGCGGCTCATCTGCTATGAACTTCCTTTGCTACGACCGAGCTACGTCGGCTGAATACGACGCCTGGAGTGGGCTTGGAAGTCCAGGCTGGAACTGGGACGTCATGATTCATGGTATGAAGAAGTCTGAGAACTTCACAGGCAGCGATGGCGATGTCCATGGTCGCTCTGGTCCCATTAGCTCTACTTACAATCGCATCATCCCGGATGTTTTGAAGCCATGGCAGTCTACGGTCAATAAGCTGGGCGTCCCGATCAATGACGGAGGATCTCTTGGTGGAAACCCTGTTGGAGTTATGTTCCAACCCACCAATATTGACGTGACCAACTACACCCGCTCATACAGTGCCAACAGCTACCTGCCAAAGGCTGGGCTTAATCTGGAAGTCAAGACGAATGCCCATGTTGCTAAGGTTCTCTTTTCCTCTAAGAAGAGCAAGGGCTTAATTGCTACTGGTGTCGCTCTCCAAGATGGCTCTACGATCAAGGCCCGCAGGGAGGTTATCCTTTCGGCAGGTTCTATCCAGAGTCCGGGGCTGCTCGAGATGTCTGGAATTGGACAAGCCGAGGTTCTTGCCAAAGCGAAAGTAAAACAATTGGTCGACCTTCGAGGCGTCGGCGAAAATTACCAAGACCACCTTCGAACCTCCAATACATACATCCTGAAGGAAGGTTACGAGTCCTTCGATCAAATGATCTTCAAACCCGAGGGTGCGTTGGCGAAGGAGCAGTTCAACCTATGGCTTGAGAACAAGGTGTCATGGTATGACTATACTAGCAGTGCCTACGCCTTTCTCACCTGGGCACAGGTCAGCGATTCTGTAGGAAGAAAGATGAATCAACTTGCGAAAGACGGCTTCGCTATCAATGGAACTGTCGTGGACAAAAAGAAGCTCGAGTATCTGAGCGATGCTTCTATTCCCCAGCTGGAGCTCCTCCTAGAAGCCAACTATGTTGGTGCTCAGGGCTATCCTGGCACTTCCCCCAACTTCATCACCATCTTCTCCTCCATTATGCATCCCATGAGTCGCGGCAGTGTTCATATCAATGGGCAAGATGTAAAGAGCAAGCCGATTATCGACCTGAACTATCTCAATAACGAGTACGACATACAAGCACTGATTGAAGGTGCTAGGTTTGCCCGCAAAGTCGCCGAGACGGAGCCTTTGCGATCCGTATGGGCTGCAGAGTTTGAACCGGGCCTAGGGAAGAGGACAGATGCACAATTACGTGACTGGGTCGTCAAGACAGTCAACAGTTTCTACCATCCGGTCGGTACGTGTGCAATGCTTCCTAAGAAGGACGGTGGTGTTGTCGACTCGAACTTGAAGGTTTATGGCACGAAGAACCTCCGTGTGGTTGATGCCAGTATTATTCCTGTCCAGCTGTCAGGCCATGTTCAGACAGCTGTGTACGGTATCGCCGAGACAGCTGCGCAGAAGATTATCGCTGCGGAGAAGGAATATGTTAAGGGTCTGTAAAGAATGATTTGACGCACGCCTGAATAGCAAACCGAATGCCCAAGGTTGTAATTAAGATTGCACCTCTTTTGGAGAGTCAGGATATATGGAATGGCTAAGGGCTTTCTGGGACTGTCTGCACATCGTAGTAATTTTAGTTAACTACTGTTACTAAGGACTAAATACTATATATTAGCTATAGACCCTGGTGTTGACATCTATTCCTATGTTCATTTCAAACCACCAAAAGTCTTGAGGCGGAGCATCCGGCCAGCTGCAGCTATGGTGGCCTCTCAGCTCACACAAACTGTCACGGTTTCACAGAGCTTGGTCGCGGGCGGCTGACCATGTCGCGACAGCTGCGACGGGCAATTGAGCGTCCAGTGGCACTTTAGAAAGGCCGGCAATTACAGGTAATCAACTTGAAAACGCTTGGCAAGCCAAAGCAACGGTTGAGGAGAACTCTGCTAGGGTAGCGAGGGAAAGCCTGTAGACAAATATGACAACTTTCAAGTGTCGCACTCTTCCCTTGACCCATTTCCTTCAACCGTTCTGGCTCCTGTTTTCTCTGATATGCTAAGTTTTAAAGATCATATTAGCATCGTGTAGCCCAATGCCAATACTCATAGCCACAATGGCCGGCTTATACGATTGGTTTGCCTTAATAATTCCACTGGCTGGTGATTATAAGAGTAACACCTTCACTTCAGATCGCGATGTTATGCATACGCAACTGTTGTTTCTTGCGGGGTTACTATACAAAGCCACGCGGAGAAGGATTGGCGGAAGCTCACTACGTCAGACCTAACCCACTACACTGCCAGATGATTCCTTTGCCGCTCAGTGATGCTCCATATTTTATTGAGGGAAAGCAAGGAACCAAAAACAGCATCCCGACTTTGTCAGTCCCCGGGTGACGACCAAGCCGGTATCTGCAGGCGCTGCCCTTTTGCACTTAGTGCGGGACACGTAGGAATTCAGCTGTCAACAAGCCTATTGATAGCCTATACCATTTCCTACTTGGGGCCTGAGTGCCTTGGAACCCCGCTCCAATATGCCGCTTTTATGATCGGCGACCAAAAAATATTGGCAGATCTCTTCCTAAACCATGATCTCAGCTGAAGCAAGAGGTCAAAGCTCCAGCATGAGGCAATAAGAGAGGATTCATACCAGCCTATCATCGACAACGTGCCGTGCCGCTGCTTGACATAGTATTGATATTTTGGACCAAACGGGACTAGTATGCGTCGAATATTGATTGTTTAGCATATGATATCTTACTGCATAATCTGATAAGAGCGGAAGAGATACGGAATCAAGGTAGCTGGTTGTTGAAGCCACTTTCCCCCTCTTTCTTGAATTACAATGCATGGAAATTGTCTGATTGGTTTATTGTGATGAGAATGGAATTTCATCTACATGCGCTCCTCAATCACGGAGCTAGACTTCCTCAATGTCAAGCGCGGGCAAGCCCTTGTTCTCGTCATCAAGGATATCCACAATACTCTTCAGGTCACTCTGATCCCTGATCTGCAGCAAGGACCCATCAATGGCGTTGAAGAAAAAGAACTTGCCGCTACCAACCTCGAAAAGGTAGAGTGCTTCTCCCGTGTAGGGTGCCATTCCGTAGTGAGGCCTGATATCTCCGTCAATGCCACGACCCCGTACCTCATCTTCCATCTGACCACCTTGGCCCCAAAGCATGTCCCCTCCCATGTCCTCGTAAGAATTGACCCAGTTGGCTGGGGGTGGAACCTAGAATTTTGCCGGTCAGTCACCTTGGGCTGCAAGAAGGGGAAGGTCATGATGTACCCCGTTGTCGGTCACCACTACGCCGTTAGAAATTGTGGTGTATTGACTCATTTTGGGTAGCAGGTGTGTGTGAAAGTGTTATGAGGGTGCGGGAGTAGAATGTGATTGTTGAGTTGTTGAAGAGGAGACTGTGATGGGAGAGGTGATGATCGAGGTACATTTATATACATGGCTCGGGCAGGTGATGTCACATACTAATGACTAAGCCTAAAATGGTATGGCCAGATAAGGTACATAAGGTCAATATCAGTGCAAACTTGCGAGAGCAAACAGTTAGTGCTTATATTATCGAGGTTGCCTATTACGCTGTGATTGTTGCACGTTCTCAAGGTATCTTGAACTTCTTATTTCTCCTACCGATTACCAGCAATATGACCAATGTCTTGGATCCAAAGTATCTGAAGTTCCGTGGAGAGAGCCTGATTGAGATGTACAACTGGAAAAGGGAAAGGGTCTGAAGGTCAAAGCAGTACAATTTGAAGTCCAACTGACGTGTTGAGATAGATATACAAATTCCTGCATGAGAGTTGCACGACGGAACCGTTGAAACTGCTCTATAAGCAATTTCTTTCTCTCTGGTCAGTTACTCCTCTCCCCCACGAGACAAGTGTTTCTGTTAACAACCTATGGCCCTGTAGTCCTTTGGATAAACCGGTCCCAGATGGTTGGAAGGTAGAACACAACTATCAACCTGTCAATAAGAAAGGTAATCCCGATTCGAAGGCCTATGGACCCGATCAGCATATTTTCCGTATGCCAACTCGAGATCCGCGCCCCATATTCTCCAAGTTTGATGTGAACCCTAACGACGACTGGACTCATACAAACACCATGAGCATCCCAGGCTCCGAAACAACCCTCGCAAGCCCACGATATTGGAACCACTATGATCTCCTCGGTCTCATCTTATCGGTCTTACAACCCGAGTTGGATGGAGCTGATAAAGATAGATTCTTCCTTCCTCTGACGGCGGTATATGGTCGATGGTGTGCCCAGATTGGAGGCAATAGGGCAACTACGGAAGAAAAAGACAAAGGAAAAAGAGGCGTTGGAGCTGTGCCAGCTGTTTTCCAGTGCACATGGATCAAAGGTAAGGAGGATAAAGTTTACTTCGCTTTAGGGTCCTCGCTGGCTGGATTTGATTGGAACAACGAAGAACAGGTAGGGAAATGGAAGATAAGACTTCGGCACACTCGTTTCGACCTCCTGAAAGGATGGAACTATATAGACAAGGCTGGAGAAAAATGGGATTACTGGTGGTCGCCCACGTTGGAGGAAAACGCGATAGCAGGAACGCATTTTGGCAACTGTGGAGAAACATATCCCTTTCTTCACGTATTGTGAGTTCACCATCAAAGCGTGTCCCGAATGAAGCCCAAATCTCTGACAAACCTTTAGTGACTCCTGGACCAAGAACTCGAGGGGCAAGGCTCATGGCTTGGCACTTTCTAGCAAGTTCCTTGGGGACAATGTGTTGAAACTTAACTACTCGCCAAAGGCCATGCACCAGCCAGCCGATGATGATGAAACCAGCTGCAAATTCATTATCCCCCCCTGCAAAAACTGCAGATATCTACTTCAAAAGGCTGATGCAGTGGATGCTCAATTTATCTATCCACCTATACAGAGCACATAGTTCGGAAACCTTCACCGAAGGAGCTTCAAGAACTATATCGTCATAAGCATTCAATAAGGATTTATGGAAATAGAAGGTTGAAGCGATCAAGTGCTATGGAGCAATTGATTCCTGGTGTTTTCTGGTGATAGCTACTCTCAGATCTCTTCAAGGTCAAATGCATTCAGACCCTCGTCATCAAGGCTTGCCACAATCTTTTCGAGAGTCAAGTTCCCATTCACACGGTACATAGAGTCGTCGAGAGCATTCCAGAAGAAGAAGTCCTTGCCGCCAACTTGCATCAAGAACATGGCTTCACCCGTATAGGAACTTGTGCCGTACAAAGGCTGGACATCTCCGTCAAGGCCCCGGTCCTTAATCATCTCTTCCAAATCATCATTCCAGCGCATGTCGCCACCAATTTCATCATACACATTGGTCCAGTCTCGGGGAGGGCGAACCTGGTAAGCTGTGAGATATTTCTGGGAGAGCTGTAATGAGAAGATCAGCAGTGACTTACGTCAGTGTTTGTGACGACGACACCGTCGACCATTTTTGTGTGATTGGACATGGTGAATATTCGTGGTTGAAAGAATGGTGTGTACTGCAAGAAGGTGTAGGTGCACAGTATTGGTCACAAAAAGCTGCCTGAAGGATGCAGCTAGACGCCGAAGATAGATGAATATTTATACACCACCCTACCCCAAGTAAGACGTCACCACACACTGCTAGGGTGTAAGGGTGCTGCAAGGGTAGCTCAGCCGTAAGCGCTGATCCCAATTAATGGTTAGCCCGATCCACTGCCCTACATAGCTAGGTCGAGTTTATCAGCATCGCTCTTTTTGGCACACCCTATTCTATGACATGTACAAACCGGTACATCCTTCATCTCTGCCTTCCCTTTTGGGAGTCATCGCAATCTTATCATGTGTTCCTACCTGTGTATGTAAATGCCATCATCTCCGCGTATAAAGTAGAGTCTCGTATGTCTCTTGCAATTGACAAGATATCTCTACACACAAAGCAACAATGGCACCGCTCAGATTCGTCGGCAGAAATCTAAGCGACCTTTATAAATATGAGCTTCAAGACGTAAGGATAGGAAAGCACGGCAGTACACAAATCGCTAACATCTGGGTCTGGAAATATAGATCTATAAGTTCTTGAGGGATGTCGCTCAAGATCCGGAGTCTTTCAAAATAGACGAAGCAGAGTCGAAAAAAGAGAAACTGCAAACTATTTATGAGCAGATACTGACGCTATGGTGAGAGATCCCTTTCGAAATGAAACCTGCGTTGGTAAAGAGATAGTTGCTAAAGAAGGCCCCCTACACCCAAAGTCCCCTAGACAAAAACGATATCGAAGTGGTCAAGGCTGATGTCACAGCCGAAAACTACGAGCCTAGAATCGGGGACAGAATTAAAGGAAAGATCAACCAGAAGCTACAACCAAGCCAACACATCTATCGCCAATCAACAGATGTGATGAAAACAGATGAAAATAAGGAAACGTGGTCTCCGATTGAAGTTAAACTTGACAATGACTGGAGCCATGCTTACCCCCCTAGAGTAGGGAACGGAAGTCTCCCTTACTGGTCACATTATGATCTCCTTGGTCTATTCCTATCTCTCATGGGGCCAGCTCAGCCCAACTCCGACAGGTTTCGTTTTTTTCTTCCTCTGACCGCTGTTTATGCACGCTGGGCCTTTACCATTGGAGGTAACAGGAAGAGAAAAACACACAAAAGCTCACAAGTCATGGCTTTCAAACCTAGACCAGGGTATGGGAAGCCGCCCACAATCTTCCAATGCACTTGGATCACAGGTCCCGATAGCAAAGTTGACTTCTCACTTGGTGCTTCAATGGGCGGGCAGAACTATGGCAGCATCAATAAAGAGAATGGCGAGAATAGTCTTGGAAATTGGAGCGAAAGGCTTCAGCGAAGTCGCTTTGACCTTTTGACAGGATGGAATGCAATTGAAGACTCGGAGTGGACTAATAAAAATGGCGAACCAGAGCGCTTTGCCTTTGAAACATCGCCAAGCATTGATAGTGGTTTATCTACGACGAAATTTGGAAATTGCGGAGAAACCTACCCCTTCGTACAAATGCTGTCAGTGAGAGCTTCAACCTTACCCTCCTCAGACATAAAGCTAACGTCTGTAATACAGCAATCAGTATAGGGCTACTGGAAGGGAGGAGATCAAAGGCCTTGCTCTTAACTCGCCCTTTCTAGGCGATGATGCACTATGGGGGGACTACTCTCTTGACAATATACACGTTGAAGCTGCAAAGAAGCGACAAGATGAGGAGATAAGCTTCAAGTGGATTTGGTCACCATGCAGGAACTGCAAGCACTTGATCAAGGTGGCTAGTGCAGAACTGGATAATTTCCTCCCGGAACGGAATCCCCCAACAAAAAAGGACTTTGAAGAGGCACAAACCAAGACGCCGGCAAAGGAAAACGGTCATTTAGTGTCAGCTTAATTGGAAGATGCAATTAGTATTTATTGATAAGCCTTTGTAGTTTAGGACGGATAAATTCATGTTGTATTGCTAACGTAGCTAAGAGACTATTTGCTATGGTAGTGACTGAATGGGATAACGACTAGTGATGCTTCTGAAGTGTAACTTCAAAGAAGTCGTTGATAGGATCATGCTCGTGATCAAACTTGTAGTAAGAAGACGTGTAGAACGAAAACCTCTTATTGCCAGCGAACGAATTGAGCTGAGCCAGCGTCAGCATGAAACTCATCTCATGAACATCTTGCATCCTGATCCATCCTTTGTGACTTCGCGGGATAAGCCTCAGCAACAAGCACTTTCTCTCAGTGACAGGCATGGTAGTAAAAGACATCAGAACATTGAAGCGAAGGTTACTCAACATGCGTGCACCGGGACCTGCGTAGGTGTCCATGATGCAGTTATCGTCAGCTGACGTGCCAAGCTCAATAGCTATGTCGAACTCTGTGAGCTGATAGCTGCTGTATTTGTTGCGTGAGACAAGTACCGAGAATACGATGTCTTGAGGTAAGCAATCTTTATCTTGGATGATGACGTCGTGCTGTAGGGAGTATGCGTTGCATGTGTAAATAGGTGGACCAGCTAGGGCAGAAGATTGGGAGCTGGCACTTGCTGTTCTCATGAACATGCTGACTTGAGGAGCTCCAAGCCTTCTTGCACTGGCGAGCTGCTGGACTGGGACACCATGGGGAACCTGTGATCCCATGGCGCCATGGAGATGCTCTGTGATCGGTGCTCGATGGTGCGGGGGGAGATGGTGTCCCAGAGTACGAGATCTCACCACAAAGCTCTCATCGCGTTCCCATGTCTCGGCAACGGTATCCAAAGATGCCGCTTGAAGGGACACAATGGTGTCTACCTCTGGTGGATCGAGATCATCATCCTCAGGCTGTGGCACTCTGGGGACAGTGGTAGGTGTCATAAACTTCAGGCTGCGAAGTTCTTGGACTGGCCCAGTCGCTGCACTTCTCAGAGTAGCCAGCGGAGATGAAGATGCTTGATCACCCGATCCCTCTTGTTTATCTAAAGCAATGATGAGTTGATAGTAAGGATCGTTGAGTTGCATGGCAAGGAGGGCAGAGGTTGGAACAGTATCGCGGAAGTAATCCTGCTTGTTCCCCTCGTCATCAGTGAAGGATCCCATGTTCTCGTTGAGCAGGTCCATCTGTTTCTTGACGAAGGAGGGCAGACGAAGGATACGCAGATCAGCATCTGGATCACCTTCATCCTTTCCGCCAACGAGTGTCTTTGGGATAGTGCTCCATGTGAACCAATTATCCTCTGAGCTTGGAAGCATAGTGACCTTTTGCCAATCTTCTTCAGGCTTAGAGTAGTCTTGATATTTCGGATCAACGGTGAACTCCCTTCCAATAGATATCTCTAACTTATCAGCCTCAAGGTACCAACCAGCAGCAAACCGTTGCTGATGGGGAGGCTGAGTGAAGTTCAAGGTTTTGAAGTCTTGTCCAGGAATGCAATCGAACAATCCGAGCATGACGCCGTCTGCGATAATCTCATGGCGAAGAAGAGGTGCACGACCAGTATCAGCTCCAGTGGTGTTGACTCTCAGATCAGGGTAAAGAGTGACGAGATCAGAACGTAGGTAGAAGCCGTAAGTTGGGACTTGCGGACGATGATTGAGTTTGGGAGACTTGTACTCCAAGTAGCGATTGATGCCGTGTTTGATGGCAACTCTGTCGAGATCTTGGCCCATGTGGTTTGCCAAGCTCAAAGCACCGTCGACCATCGCATCAACCCAGTTGGGATCAATGTGAAAGAAGCGCAGACTCTCGGGAGGAACATGGCTTGGATCCGAGATCAAGTAATGTGCAGGAATTCTGTCGAGGAACATACGATCCAGAATCCAAGCTAAGACTACCATCCAGTCTGTAGAGACAGGGTCATTGGTCTCATCATAGACCTGATCATCTTTCCCCATGGAGAGTTCTTTGAGGACAACCTCTATAGCTGCTTCTAGGTACTTCTCCTGAATTGGCTTTGAAGAAAAGCCAAGTTTAGGATACTGCCGTTTGGAAAGCTCCGGACGATACCATCGCTTCTTGGCACCTCCAGGTGCGAAGTAGTGAGGTCTATCGTTGTCTGAAGCAGGAGGAATTGCCAACTGTATCTGATGAAGGCGCTCAATGGTCTTGGGAAGATCCTTGAGAAGATCATCTCTTGACCGGTAACTTTTCTCCGTCCCTGCCTCGGTGACAGCATCAATCTTGCACGCCTTCATGGTCTTGGTGCGAAGAATGGACCGTAGACGAGACAAGGCTGCAACATAGGCTTTGTCGCCGAGAGCAAGTGTTCTGCCAATCTGCCAGGCGATAGAGTAGCTGATATCCATCAGACCGACCTTCTTATCTAGGATCTGAAAGTCTTGACCAGAATTGGAGCACTTGTTCAGCTGTTCATTCAGCTCGACTCTAGTAGGCGTGAAAGGACCACGGTATAACGCCGCCGTCTTTTCACCGGTCTGAACCCGGTATTGAACG